TATACACGCAAATATTGGAATTGGTGTATTTACTCTGGTATCTACGTCAAACGTTTTGCGTCTTCGGAGGGCGAGTTTTTCACTAGTGAAGATAACGCTTTCGTGGTTTCTTTATACTTGGAAGTAAAACAACTATTTTAGTTTGCTTTTATATATAATTATATGATAAACAGAACGAGTCAAAGMTTTTCAACACGAGAAGATAAAACGTATCYCCAAGCGACCATGTAATATTCTCTATTTATAAAAGATTATACTTTAAGAAGCATATAGTGTAGTGCAATATCTAATGGCCTAGCACTTCTAAACTTTCCACTAGTTCTTACGTACTTCATAGAATTATCTAGAGCTTTTTACTTTTTAATGATAACACTCAAAAGAAAAACCTAATATCACAAGCTGACCGCAGTCGTCTTAAAATGATATTTACGAGTTTTGCATCGTTTTGTTTGATTCTTTTTGTCTTAAAAGTTGTTAATTTGTTTTCAAAAATATTACTGTTTACACTTAGTGGGGTCCTTAGTGCAACTGATTATAATGTAGTCATCCATATTAATAACTTTATTGATTATTTCTCGATTACCAAGAACGTTTCGTGTCGACTTATGAAGTCACGCTGTTCGTCCTATTGCCTAWACAGATCTTTAACCAAAATGGCATACTTTTATTTTCAGTTTGATTGGCTGGGACTTGAAACATTTTTTTAGATACAATTAAATCGGTATACAAGTACTCGGGACGTTTATCCGCTCATAAATTAAACATAACATCAATTTACGCCTGAAAGTTTCTCCTAATGTTTTCRCTATACAGGGAAATAGTTTGTTTTTGTCCGGGTGTTGATTTTTTTTTCGCGCCTTTTTTCACCACACGCGTCATATCGYTGACGTGATCTCATTTCCCGCCAAAACCCCATGACATCGAAACTCGCTCCATGAAATCGCGAATCTCCCCAGAGAAAAAAAATTCCCTTGATTGACTTAAGAATATCTTTATTACTATTATTCYGTATTTGTCTTTCCGTGCTGTAATGCAGCATGTTTGGAGTCACGTCTTAGTTTATTATTATGAATTTGAACAATAGAAGATTCAGGAAAATGAGATATATTATTTTAATGAGAGAAGCTGGTATATTCTAACACCTTCTTTAAGCACTGTTTTTTCCCTTCAATTATGCGATTATTGCTTTAATTGAACGCTATTATTTTTCCCCGACAAAGTCGGAAATTCAAATTATCTAGGGTAAACTTACTAAAAAAAGCATGCTAAATTTTTTATCTTCATATGAATATCAATTTCTGCGGCTAACTGGTGGCCAGACTTAACACTATGGCAGCAACTATGGTATGGTAAACTGTTAGCTCTTAATGTTTGATAGAAACTCTTGTGACGACAGCATATCTGTTGTTATGACAATTAGTTCGTTATCTACCAATTTACGAACACATGCCCTTGTTAGGCTTCGTTTTGACTCGGCCTTATTTTTTTGACACCGGTTTTTTTTTTATTTAAAGATAAAAAACCTTTGTCTACGTCATAGAAAAGTCAGTTTACTCACTTTGACTTAGTCTCTTAATKCGCAAACCCGAACATAGTGCTAAATTCAGAACTTGATGGGCTATCACGATTCGGTTTAAAGATCTCAGTTGARAAGGAGTCGGAACACTAAGGTAAGACCAAGTCATTTCTACCATTTCGATATATTTTAAACTTTTTTTTCTAAGATTTCGTTACATGTTAAAGATTTTGAAATGTTTATCAATAATCAAAAAATAAAACTTGATATGCATTGCTCTTAAATATTCATTTAATTCATAAGATAAATAAAATGTTAACAACTTTCTTCTTCGACTTTMTCATGTCATTCGCCCTGATATTTCCATTTTTTCCCAATGACTTATTTGATACATTTTTTCAATCGATTTTAAAACAGTTGTTTTCATATTTTTTACTGTAWAGATATACCAAATGACTGTATTCATTTAAATTGATGTCCTTGGTGATTCCACTTTGCATTGGCTGTTATATTAATCCCCCACTTTTATCTCGTTTTCGTTTGCATCGTTTTGTACACATTGCCGTGGCGTATTTAGTTACCATCAAAAAACGAGGAATAGTCCATTAATTTMGATTCCAAGTCCAATATTTCTCGTACAGTGAGCTACATTTAAACTTGTCGCTCTATATTGTGTATTACTTAATATATTTTTTTCTTTCACTTATTTTTTATTTTTTCATTTTCGAGTGAGTAGCTTGTTTGCCAAGTATTAATGCACTATAAGCCACAATAAAGCCAAGAATTRCAGTAATTTTGCCTTCAATAGTCAACTTCTTCACTAATTGTACCTTGTAATTAATTCATGTTATTTCCTAATTTTACTTACACTGATAATGATTCTTATATTAKAAACTAACATTTATATAAATTATTAAAAGCTTAAAACATCCAGTAACTAAACTTAGAATCTGTCTTCTCACTTAAAGTTGCAAGTATGGTAYCGCAAAGTGATTCATGTTCAAAGCCAAAATAGTGGGATAAGATCGGATTAGAATTCATGTCTTCTTAGTTCTCCTTAATTGTTATTTTCCACACGTATTCATTATTGAATATTAATYGAAAGAAAACTTATTTTCGATTAAAACAGTCCTTTATTTTCAATGTGCATAGACTATAGTGCAATTTCCAGGCTTTTGTAYCTGCGTTTTTAACCGTTCGCTTGAATATTCATTTTGTATATGGATTAGAAGTTCTCAGTCTCTTAATCTCCCCCAGAACGACTAAATGCATTTAAAAGAACATATTTTTCGTCAACCTGKCTTAAMTCGTCACGTGACAGCGATTGTTTCGTCACTACATTAATAAAGTAGAGACTTTGAAGCTCGTATAAGTGAGCCGCTTCAAAACCAAAATTATTAAATCGTTCTTTAAGATATATGTATATTATATCGTTTCATAATAATGTTATTGTTATTAAATGGTCTGAGTAGCACAAATTATGCAATAATTTTTAGATTTACGTTCATATATGACCATGCATCGTCAAACTTGTAACACTCTTCAACTGATGATAACTTATAAAAAGCTGAAACATAACTTGTTTATTAAAACTTTAAAGTTGTGTCCTTTACTACTGAAAAATTATTATTATCATTTTTATTATTTTTATTATATTATATTAGTTTGTTGTTGGTGTTTTTTTTTTTTTACTTTTTTTAAGTAATCAGGAAAGTTAATCCGCTCTTTAAATTTATTTGCGTTTGAAAACCTTTTTTTTAGTTTTTAATCTATTGACACTTTTAAAAATCGTTTATTCACTGTGTATGTTTCTATAGGTTTTTGACTCTACTCTCAAATCGATTATTTTATCGATGTTTGTGATATATAAATGTCTTGAAGGTGTTGTGAATTCGTTATCAAATAATTAATATAGTGTAGATCCTGTGCTTACACCGCTACCATGCGACAAACGTCAGTGCGCAAGGAAGCGTATATCTTTTTTCCGTTAATACATCACGTCATTATAATCACTATTCCGATACTTACATCAATATTATTTCGTATATGTTTAATAAGTACCATCAAATTTAACTCAAGAAATTGTGGCTGCATCTTGTTTATGAAGTACTGTACTCGGCTATAAAGYGAAAGCCGTATCAAAATTATCTCAAGAAGGTTTCGTTTCTTATGCATCAAGAGAAACCACTTATCTATCAAGTTGTGAGTACCTGCAGAATTAACTCGAGTAACTTATGTTTTTGTATGTGAAGTAGGCCACTTCTCGGCTCTAAATCGAAAGTTATATCAAAATTAACTCGAGATGGTTTCATTTYTTATTATGGACAAAGTCCACTTGTCTCCCAACTCGTTAATAAAGCGAAATTAWCTCGAGAAAGCTGTATTGCTGCTGGTGTTGAAGCAGACCACTTGACTCTCTATGAGAACTAGTTGTGAAATCCGCTCTTTCACATTATTATTTTAAGGAAACATATTTATTAAGGAAAGCCACTTGGTTCTAAAACAGTGCATACAAAAAAAGACGAGAAATTATCTTAGAAGTGCTATGTTCAGTTCACATTGGTGAAAAAGGCCACTTGTAGATTATAAATAAGCGATTTTCGATGACCGCTTTTTTACCGCTTGGTACAAAAATAGCTTCTTGGTCAACTTGAACCTGATCATTCCTCTTCGGCTGTGCCGTGCGCGTTGTGCCCAACGAAAAGCCAGAAGTGCACGAGCAGCGGTTCTGGCCAATCACAGCGCGCGTAAGATTGAATGACATCATCCCTGATAACACGTTTTTGAACAAATCCAAGAGCGTGTTAACACCAAACATTATATAATATTTATTATAATCTTTATATACATCAATATGCGGAAGTTRTAATCATTTTGACTCATATTCCAACTATATTTGAAATATATCAGAAATTATGGCATATCATCGCTGATATGTTTGAATTAGGGTGAAATGGCAATGAAATCTCAGAATTTCTGTTATATTTTAAATTGTATACTTGAAATATGAACAAAAAGATCATAATTTCTGCAAGTGTTAAAAGTTTGTTAGTATTCTTCTTTCTCTTTCAGATTCGACGTAAATATCACGAAAAAATGACTTCAATKTTCGCTCTACTCKCGCTTGCCATCTTATGTAATCTTCCTTACTATTGCCAAAGCAACCAAAACATCACACCAAACARAACTCTAGTGAATATCGTTCTTATTGTCTCTAATGCTCCCGATCTCGACAACTATGGTTATTATCGTGCCTTGGTCTTAGCCAAGTCAAGAATTGAAAACAATACAAAGTTTAAATATTTCAACGACAGATACAAAATAAAGTTGACAAAGAGAAACGATCTTGTAAGTAGTAGAAGTTTTTTATAACTATTGTCCGTTGGTTTATATAGGAAAGACAGACATGAAACAAATAGTACAAAATATAGGTGCTAAATTATAACGATTAATAATCTTTTCGTATTTGTTTCATGGTTTTTTGTGGCAGAATGAAAACACTAGAGTGAGTTCATTAAACCCGTGAAACAAAATTTGACTTTTAAAGTTTGATAGTCAAAATAATAAAATAATATGTCTTAGTGTAATATCTATTTCACGGGTTTTTGGACTTCTCTCTACAAGCTTGTAGTCAATAGAAAACAACAGGGGCGTATCCAGTGGGGGACAGGGTGCCCGTGAACCCTCTTTTAAAGCCAAAAAGCGCGAAACCAACCCTCAAAATAAAAATCCCCTGAACAGTAAAGGGAATCGCATAATTCAGTACAATTTAGCACCATTACTAAAGTTTTTCATGGTTTTCGTTTCAGAATTCCGTACCCTTTACTATTGATCACGTGTATAAAACAGCTTTCTTAGATAGCAACAAGCCGATGGCTTTTATTGGTCCTATGAACTCAGAGCTTGTAACTTACGCTTCCGCAACTCTGGACTTGTACAAATGGCTATTTGTAAGTATAAAAGATCTGCCAGTAGAGAAAAGAGAAAGAAAAAATAGATTCGAATAAAAAAAAAATCTTACGTATAACATGACCAGGGTACCAGGTACGGACATGACCAGGTACCAGAGGCGGATCCAGATATTTTCCAGATCCAAATATATATAAAAARCACTAACAATATTTTCCCGAGCGTGAACTTTTCACGATCGAGATTCCCAATTTTTTGTGACGTGTGTGTCAAAARATAGATATTTCTGATATTAATGAAAATGGACGGTTTTATTTTGAATTTCTTCATTATCGTCTTTGAAAKAAAAGAAAGAGAAAAATTCTTTAAAGACGACAGATTACCGTCCGAAACGTCAGTAAATTATTTCACTACTTTTTTACGGTGTTAAGTTTATTTTTTTACACAAAGGTTTCTTTAGAAACACCGACGTAGCTCACACTAGTTTACCGCTAGTTTCGGCAMCATTTTCCCTCTCTAACAAAAAATTATTTTCATCACAGGTCACTGCCGCACCAAAAATAGATAACTATAAGAAAAATAGCGCCATTTTAAGCTCTTCRACAGGAATAGACCAAGAACTAAAAGCAAGAATGAGACTTTTAGAAAAGTTCAAATGGAAAAGAGTTGCCTTCGTATACTCAGTAGACACTAATTATGCAATAAAGGTAAAGACAATAATTATCGTTRTAGAGTTTCATTGTATTGCTATTTATCTACCTCAGGCAGCCCAGTGGTTTCATGAGGAAGTTGAGAAGTGTGAGTTGGGCAAATTTTTCTTCTTTTTTTGTCTTTAGTACGTTGACGCGATGCTTGACGAGTTCAACCCTCGTGGTTTTCAGTTAATTGGGCGAGCAGGCATAGAAGTACGAAAAAGTCAACTCCAGTACAACCTGGCTGTTCTCAGAACGAAAYTGCAAGAATTCAAGGCAAGTATGAGAAATTCTGAGAAATTGTAATGAAATTCAATCTATGAAGATTGAGAACAAGACACAACAAAAAATAGATAAGTTCCCCTCGTCTTCAGCTCCCATGCACGTGCAAAAGGCTCGTCAATGCAAMCGCAGAATTTCTCGCGTGATGAATTCAATGACCGCACTGTCATAGCCTCAGTTAGCATTGAATTTGGATCGTGTGATATTCGACGTTATTGCACCAAGCTATGAATAAATAAACAAATAAAATAGAATGAAATAAAACTATTTATGACGGTTTTCTATCTCACATTAGAAAAATGATACCAAGATATTTGTTGCTGAGATAGGGCCATATGAAGCTTTGATTCTGTTCTGTGAGGTAAGCAAGCTAGAAAAAATCGTTCACTTTAAAAGGTTGTAAATTTGATGTAAATATTATGTAAGTGTCCAAAATGATGTAAATTTGCTGTAAATTTAATGCTTAAATTTGATGCAAATTTACATCAAATTTACATCATTTTCGACACTTACATAATATTTACATCAAATTTACAACCTTTAAAGCGCGCGATTTTTTCCAGAAGTAAGAGCTCATCTAATCTTTTAAAGTGCCATTGTCAATGTTTCTATTTTCTTTCACTGACAGTTTTAAAAAGTCACTAACCTCCTCTCTTCCATTCATTTTCAAAGGTTCATAAGTTAAAYATGTATGGAGACGATATCGTCTGGATTATTAGCTCAAACGCTAAATTGCTAGAAACATGGATCACTTACAATAGAACTATCCATCAAGTCATTACGTGCTCCAAGGAGGATTTGCAAAATGTTATCAACGGATCATTCATATTTCAACGAGAACTATTAAGGAGAGACGACGTCCGAACRGACAGCGGCCTGGTAGGGAAAAAACATGCATTGCTAAAACATCGTTGTTTGGTTGATGATTAGATGACAATAATGGGTTTGGTTGAAGGTTTAACTGGTTGGCTTGATGACTGGACTGAATAAAGCGTCGTTTACACGAGCAATGTTTCTTTCACTGTTTTTGAGCATCGTTTTCCGATGTAAACATACTGTGACGTCATAATGAAATAGGGCAATTGATGCAACGGTTGACTGTAGGTTGGTCGGCTAGGTGACTGGCATTCTCCTTTGAGACAGGTTTTCACTACGCATAAACATAAGGGGGTGGGGTGGGGCAATAGCTGTAAGAGGTAAAGAAGCCAAAAGGAGGGTGATTTTTTTTTCTTTTTTTTTTTGTTCTTTTATTTAATTTTTATTTGATTATTGTGCTAACATGATATAGTATCTAATGCCGCAAGGTTGCCTTTTTAATCGTTTTTTTCTTGGCTTGAACCTACGTTTATACCCTAGTGAAAACCAGCCTAAGTTTCCTTAGCTTGCGTTTTGCTAGAATAACACTGAATAGTTAATCTGAAATGTAGGTATTTCATGGCTAATTATATGATAAATTGATTTTATTCATTCAGACTCGACACGAATATATGGACAAGATAGTTAGCATGTATAACATAACAAATGGAACGAAATATGTAACAGACAGGACCAAGCTGATGGTATCGTCTTTAGCTTTTGATGCGTTTTGGGCCATTATTACTGCATTGAACAATTCAATTGATACATTAGACGCTAAAAATTATAGCATGAGTATGGAAGATACTCGTGATGTTAGAAAACTCAGAACGATTCAAGAGACTTTAATGGAACAGATGAAAAA